ATACTTTAAAGAGGTCTTTGTCAGCAGATTTGCACAATGAAATGCATCTTTTGATTTCTTGACTGCTGCTTCCATGGGTATTGATTGTGAATCCAAGGAAAATGAATCCTTGACAACTTCAATCTTTTCTGTTTATCATGATGTTGCTTATTGGTCCAGTTGTGAGGATTTTTGTTTATGTTGAGGCGTAATCCACAGTGAAGGCTGTGGTCTTTGATCTTCATCAGTAAGTGCTTCAAGTCCTCTTCACTTTGAGCAAGCAAGGTAGTGTCATCTGCATAACGTAGGTTGTTAATGAGTCTTCCTCCAATCTTGATGCCTGGTTCTTCTTCATATAGTTGGGCTTCTCAGATTATTCGCTCAGCATACACATTGAATTAAGTATGGTGAAAGGATACAACCCTGACGCACACCTTTCCTAACTTTCAACAACACAGTATCCCCTTGTTCTGTTTAAATGACTGCCTCTTGATCTATGTACAGGTTTCTCAGAAACACAGTTAAGTGTTCTGGAATTCCCATTCCTCACAACATTACCCATAATTTTTAAGATCCACAGTTGAATGCCTTTGCAGAGTCAATAAAACACAGGTAAACATCTTTCTGGTATTCTCTGCTTTCAGCCAGGATCCTTCTGACATCAGCAATGATATCCCTGGTTCCACGTCCTCTTCTGAATCTCGCTTCAATTTCTGGCAGTTCCCTGTGGATGTATTGCTGCAGCCTCTTTTGAATGATCTTCAGCAAAATTTTACTTGTGTGTGATATTAAAGATATTGTTTGATAATTTCTGCATTCGGTTGGACCATCTTCCTTTGGAATAGGCATAAATATGGATCTCTTCCATTCGGTTGGCCAGGTAGCTGTCTTTTAAATTTCTTGGCATAGACAAGTGAGCACTTCCAGCACTCCAACCATCTGTTGAAACATCTCAATTGGTATTCTGTGAATTTCTGGAGGTTTGCTTTGCGCCAATGACTTCAGTGCCGCTTGAACACTTCCTTCAGTATCACTGGTTCTTGATCATATGCTATCTCCTGAAATGGTTGAATGTCAAACAACTCTTTTTGGTACAGTGACTCTGTGTATTCTGTCCATCTTCTTTTGATGCTTCTTGCATCATTCAATATTTTGCAGATAGAATCCTTCAATATTGCAACTGGAGGCTTGAATTTTTTCTTCAGTTCTTTCAGCTTGAGAAATGCTGAGCCTGTTCTTCCTTTCTGGTTTTCTAACTCCAGGTCTTTGCACATTTCATTATAATACTTCACTTTGTCTTTTTGAGCTGCCCTTTGAAGTCTTCTGTTATGTCATCATTTCTTCCATTTGCTTTAGGTAAGCTCTGAATTAGCTTTTAAAAAACTCTTTATTTTGAATTAATTTTAAATTTGTAGAAAAGTTACAAGAATATACTTCACCTGAGTATGTCACCAATTCACCAACTGTTAGCATTTTGCCCTATTTGCTTTATCTCTATGGAGAGATGACAGATAGATACATACATACATAGATAGAGATAGATAGATATGGCTAAGTAGACTTCCTAAGTATGGAAACGTGTAGATTTATAGCAGCAAAGCTCTTCATTCAAAATAAACATTCATGGGCACTCTGAACAAAATACAAAGATTTATTTACATATTTTAATACACTGAATAGTAATTCTTTAGTAATTCTATACATTAGCAGTTCTCACCCTGTATTTGCAAGAAGTCCACAAATTCATACATACATCAAGCACCTTGCAAAATTAGTTTTCAAATGTAGGTATTACTATAATAAATTTTAAAAATCTATATATTTAAAAACATTTCTGTATTCCCAGTAGCCTGTGGTCGACACTGAAAGTGTAATTACCATCATGTGAAAACCCATGATATTTTGTTAAGAAGTGGTTTCACACTTAAAAAGTACATGGATTTATGAACTGCCATAAAATAAATGGAACTTAGGCAATGAAATTAAATCACAAATATGTTACATGGCAAAGAGAAAGATATTTTTGTTTTAATAATAAAAGAATATAAAAATAGGACTGTTTATAGAAATTTATCTTTCAAATAAAAATCATATTGAATTCATCTACACCTCAAGCAAGGTTTACTGTACATGCTACAAAACGCAATTGAACGGTATTAGTGCAGTGATATTTTTTCCAAATCTTAGAGCTGCATGTACGATTTATTTCTATTTCAGTTATGTTACTTATACTCAAACGTGGTCCACAGAGCAGCTGCCAATCTATGAACCGTTTGGTCTGTGAGGAGATAAGGAACTTGCATCAGAATGTAAATCAACTATGTCATTAAGCACACTGTTCAGTTAAACTCACATTTTTGTTTTCTTCACAGCAAGACTTTTTTAAGGAAGGAAGCAGTATGTTTATTTGCATTTCGGCTCACGCTCTGTATCTCATCATGGAACTGGCACTTTGAGTAGAACTGATTTATGTTATATCTCCATCACCACCTAGCACAGAAGCCTTTTTTTAAAAAAACAGCTGCTTAGTAAAGTGAAGGCTTTCACTTAGTTTACTCCTCTCTGAACACCTGTAGCCTTCTTTCTCTGTTGTCTAAATTCAGAATCTGCTGGAAAACATAGGGCTTTAATTTAGTCTCAGGTCAAATGAGGCTGTTGTTTCTGAATGTAGAGTTAACAAGCATATGAAAGCCCAGATAGTCTCTGTGTTGTTTTTGCAGTTGAGGAATATATATATACACACAAAATCTTAACACAATTTTTCATGTTCCTCGAAAATAAAAAAAAAACTAAACTATTACTTTAAGAACACGCATGAAGATACATTATGACTTCTAAGAACAAACTGCTACAGAGAATCATGTTAATATTTGAAAGCATGCTACAAAAGGGGTGTTTTGTACAGCAGCAACATCACTAAAGTATATAGCTTTCCAAGGTGACCATTTCCAAGAGGACAACACTCTTGGGAATACAGGTTTCTGACACGTGATTTCTAAACTACTATACTTGTATCTTAGTGACTTCTTTCAAAAACTGAAGGTTTTTAAATTAAGTGTGCAACATTTGGGAGAGACCAGTATATTCTCAGGGCTAGAAAAAAAAACATCTATTGATTTTGAAAGTTTGGCAGATGCTAGGTATAGAAAGAAATTTTGTACTTCATAGACTCAATTACAGTACTTAGTAAGTAGGTTATGTTTGTTCTCTCTCACTAGATAAATGTTAATCTCTTGTAGGCAGTAATTGTTTTATTATATTTACACCTCCTAGACCCTAGCACAGAAAGTAGTACCCATTAAATGTCCAGTATCTATTTGGTGACTTCAAAGTTGTTCAATATGGTACATTTACAATCTAGAATTGATGAGAACAGGTATATAAAAAGAGTAAAGAACATCCTTTACTCTGTAAAAATTTTAGATGAGTAATAATGAAAAATATCTATCACACTGTATTGTACATAAGATGGTATCTGCAAGGCTTAAGTCAACTGCTGACTTTTCAAAAATTCAACTGCATTCCGAATACTTCAAATAAAATAAGAAGCATCACATTTAATCACATTTAACACAAACACAATATAATGTGGTTTTTGAACCTTAACCAATGTAAAAAAAGATAAGAAAAACCTATCAATTTCTTTATGATAACTGCACCCTCTAGTGGCCCATTTTATGTTAAAATCTTTCATATATACAGTAGTCCCCCCCTTAACCCGTGGGGGATACATTCCAAGAGTACCCCTCCCCCCATGGATGCCTGAAACCATGGATAGTACCAAACCCTATATATAATGTTTTGACTTATACATACATATGATAGTTGAATTTATAAATTAGTCACAGTAAGAGATTAACAACAATTAATAATAAAATAGAACAATTATTTAACAATATACTATAAGAAAAAATATACGTGAATGGGGTCCCCACGTCAGATGGAGCAGGAAGGCGTGACATTTCGTGTTTCTCATTTAACATTTTCAGACGGTGACTGACCTCAGCCTACCACTCACATTTTCTGCCCCTGGAGGTTTATTGGCAGGCCTTTGAGCCACTTTAGTACAGTGTCATGGTGAATACTGGTACAAATGCTTAAAACACAAGTAAGTTGGTCTGCCCCACATTTGAGTGTTGAGAGCCATTCGCATGTTGGGGTGCTTCCCAGAGGGGTGATTGTGTGAAACTTCTGTGTCTTTTGGCTTCTGTACAGCAAGATAAGGCTTGGAAGTATGGTTACTATGTCCTTTGTGTTTATTCGGAAGGTCAGTTACTGACATTCGGAAATATTCAAATAAATGAGTTATTTTGGGGGTGAAAAGAGTTTGTGATGCACTTACCAATATGTACCGTGTGTGTGATGTGCTTCACGGAACATGGGACTGATATGGCCCACCTGCGTTAGTCACCTCCCTGGATAATGTCTTTTACACACCACGTGCCTCCGTGAGAAGTTTGTGATGCACTTCCTGGACAAGGAGGGACCAATATTTACCGTGTTCGTGATGTACTTCATGGAACCGATGTGGCCCACTTGCAACTGGCACACCAGTTTTTCAAATACTAAGAAACTACCAACAATGATTCAGCATCCAATCCGTTAGTGGAAAAACATGGCATTACCAAAAACTTTAAAAACAAAAAAAAGACATGTGCAGACACCAGGCTCATTACTTAGAGGACACTCTGTCTAGTCTCTCTGCCCCTTCCCTCCCCTCTTCTTTCTTCCTGCCTTCTTCTCTCTCCCCTACTCCTCACACATGCGCACGCACATGCACGGGCACGCGTGCGCGCGCACACACACACACCCCCCCCCAGTCGCTGTAGAATCAATGCTGACTCATGAGGATCCCATGTGTGTCAGAGTAGAATGTGCTCCATAGGGTTAACAATGGCTGATTTTTTTCAGAAGCAGACAGCAAGAACTTTCTTCCAAGGAACCTCTGGGTGGACTCAAACCTCCAACTTTTCAGTTAGCAGCTGACCGCTTAACCATTTGCACTTGCACCACCCAGAGACTCTCTCGCTATATACAGTTGTTTGAAAATGATTTAAAACACAAACACAATATAACTTTGTATAAAAAAATTATCATAAAATATAATATTTTAAAATACGACAGATCATGATATAGCTCCACTAAGGTTTCATATACAGAAAACAGAAGGACAGGTCTTTGGGGTACATAACAGCCATTTTACAGTCAAATGACCATCACCTTCCACTCCTTCCCCCAGACTACATTCTTAGGGAAGACTTTCCCTGTAAGAACTTTGTTGCAAGGTCAGCTCGTTCTCTCAGCAGGCTGGCTTCCTCGGCACTTGTGTGGACGTGTACATTCTTTAGTAAGAAGTGGCTAATAAAAAGCTTCAAACCTTCCCGTAACATCCCCAGCTTTGGGTTGTCAGATACTCTGAAAAGAGATGGTATAAACATGTAGCAGTGACAAATTAGTTTCTCATATCTAAATTCCAGGTATCTTGAATAGCCAGATACAATCTACTTTCTTTTAAAAACAGAATTCTCAATGAAAAACTTCTAAAACATTCTATTTGTTACAAATTACTATTAGCTTTCTGTTCCTCAACTCTAATGCATATTAACTTAAAATTAAATCTGAAAATTGAAAATAAAGGTTCATTAATCTATACACGAAGTGTACAATAACCTTGCTTTTAAAAATCAACATAAATGAAACTAATTTCTCTTCATCTCTTTTCCACATATCTTATCAGTTAGGAACATACCTTGCAAAAATTAAACCAAGGTCTTCAACTTCTGTTTCCATTAACAGCATATATAACACTTTCCGTAAAAAGTGGACTCTAGGTTTGTCCAATTCACTGAATTCAATTACCTAATAGAGTTAGGAAGTAGAGAAAAATACAGTTACGTTAATTTAGCCAACTTTTCCAATGATTTCTAAATACAGTTAATTAGAGTAAAAAATTAAAATCCGCCCTCCAGATTTAAGAAGCTATTTCTAGTTTGTAAAAATTGAACAGTTGCTGGCAAGGATGTGGAGCTAAGGGAACTCTTACACACTACTGGTAAACCAAAACCCGGTGCCGCTGGGTCAATTCTGACTCATAGTGACCGTAGAGGACTGACTAGAACTGCCTCATAAGATTTCCAAGACTGCGATCTCTACGGATTACAGTCACATCTTTCTCCCTCTTTCTCCCACAGTGGCTCGTAGGTTCGAACCGCCTACCTTTCAGTTAGCAGCCGAGTGCTTAACCACTGTGCCACCAGGGTTCCCTCATGCTACTGGTAGGAGTATAGACTGGTATAACCACTTTGGAGAGCAAATGGCAGTGTTAAGTTTATGGGGGTAAACTTATGAATCAGCAGTTTAATTTCTAGAATTGAAACATACATTATCTCTATCTCCTAAAGACTCTATTCCCTCATTAAAAACTATATATATCTCCCATAGAAAACCATAAAAAAATTGGAAACAATCTAATCAATAGGATAAATGAATGGATAAACTGTAGTACAGTTTTATAACGGAATATTACAGTGCAATTATAAAAGCAAAGAACAGAATATATCATATGGATAAATTACAAATTAAGCTGAATCAAAAACCTGCAGGATACTAACAGTATGTGGCAGTGTAATATTATCCACATAAAAGTTAAAAACATGCAAAATAACATCACGTACTTTTGTAGATAGATACGTATAAGGATAAAAACAAACACCAAATTCAATAGTGGTTCCCTCCAGGAAGGGAGAACGGGAAAGAGTCAGGGCGCTCACAAGCAAGCTCCAATGACATCTTTCCAGTTACATTACCTAAAAGTGAGCTTCAACTGTATGTTTAATTTCATATTACTAACAAGTTCTAGGTGTGAAATACCAAGCAGGAGTTTTTGTGGCTGAGGGAAACATCATGTATTATTCCATATAGAACTCAATATTTGAGCGAACGAAGGCAAGATTTAATCCAACAAGAGAAGTATTTTCCATGTTTCTACAATGCTTTCCTAATATTGTTTTAAACCATTCTACTTCTCAGATTATAGTATAAAGTTCAATATCCTCATTTTCAAGTACAGTAGCCAAAAACCAACATCACACACCAAAAGAAATATAAGGTAATATTGAGTAAATGCTCTGACAGATAGCATAGAAGGACATACAAAAAAATCTCTATCTATATGAAGCTGTAATTATAGTCTGGCCTGTAGATTAGGAAGCAGAAGGCACAGGACGGGCAGAAGGTAATTCCACTGAATCAACTCTGCTTTTGAGTTATCTTCGATCCTCAGGTTCTCTAAAAGCTTAAGTTCTTTTTTAGGACCCTCAAATCCCAGGGGTCCTAATCATCTAAGCCTTATCGGCCCACCTAAAATTCGATCGACTATGTCTAAGTTTCACCCTACACAAACATCAGTTTATCTGTGTTTCATTGGCTCTGCAGTGATCTGGAAGTTCTAAAATGCCATGGGGCTGGGGAAGGGCGGCCTCCTGCTGATTTAAAGTTATCTCACACCAAAATGAGAAAAACGAAGGCTTGGTACCACACCTCTACAAGGTGACCAACTCCTACTTCACTCCCTCTTTCTCCTAATTTTATAGCGACCAGTTCATAAGTATATAATCAGAACTGGCACACTCATCTCAAACCCTGTAACAGAAATGTTTACTTAGATTAGCCAAATAATAAAAAAAAAAAAACCTGTAAATATGCCATAATTTACTAGGTAAATTTATACTGTATGTTAATTTGTTATGACTATTAATTTATGTTAATTCATTATGGCTATTTTCTATGACGGCTATGATAATGAAAAACACTTTTCAGGTAAATCTAAGGAAATGTAATGTTTACAAAAAAGAACAAATAAAGTCACTTATATTATCATTTCCATCGTTTTTAATAATTCCATACATTATACAAACCTTTAAAATGGAAAGCGGAAGTGATTTTGTCCTCAACAAGTGGGCCACAAGGTGAAGCAAGTTAGAGAAATTAGAAGCTGGCAAATTTTCTAAATCCCGAAATTTGTCCCATATGCTGAATTGGAAAGTCATCTAACAGAAGAGTTGAAAAGAAGAAAATTAAGTTAAGATGCAACAAATAATTAGAATATATTACTAAGAATAAAGGCATTTCGATTTCTTATGAAATATGTATTCAGCAACGCACTTATTTTTAATATTCTAAACATCAAGACTTTCAGGAGCAATTACACTTTCCTTTTCTAGAGATACCAAAAAAACCCATTGCTGTCAAGTTGATTCCGACTCATAGCAACCTCACAGGACAGAGTAGAACTGCCCCATAGTTTCCAAGGAGCTGCTGGTGGATTCGAACTGCCAACTTTTTGGTTAGCAGCCCAATGCTTAACCCTGCACCACCAGGGCTCCTTCCTATAGACAGTAGTTTGTAATATCCTCATAATAGTTTCTTTTTGTTGCAGTTTTCCCCCGCAAATCAGCAAATACCAAAAATAATGCTTTAAAGGCATTTGTGGATAAAGTTACATGAGAAACAAATGGTGCAGTATACAGCTAGGAGGAACTCTAGTTACGCTGGTCATGAAACTCACTTCATTTGTTAGTAAGCAGACATTCTGGCCGCACAGCGAGCCCTATCACTTTCCCTGGTTTGCGTCCAACTACCGTCCCCATGAAGACAGTTGGCAGACAATGAAAGAACATGTGATTCTGCCCAGTGGACAAAGCTCTGTGGACTGGGTGGACTCCTGACTCAGGGAACTAATTTTGAGGTGGGGTAGGTGGGGTGAGCCAGACAGAAAGTTTAGAAAAAACAGCAGAGCACACGTAATTGGTGGCCTTCTCACTGAACAATTTACCTGAAATCTCCTTTCATATTCACAAAGCTTGCTAGCCAAAAACGCATAAAAAGGATTATATGTTTTCTCTTGAAGGCAGCAATCCATGAGAACATGAACTATTTCTCTCTCCTGCTGATCCTTAAGTCCAAGTCTATAAAACAGAAATAGCAATAATTAAACAAACCATTCAGTTTCCCAGTTTTAATTTCCAAGAAATACATTCCTGTTTGGCATAGTCTGGTCAAACGAGAACTAGGTAGAGGAGGTACAGGTCGGTTAAATGAGAACCAGGTAGAGGAGGCAGGGGCATCAAAAGACACGAGCTACAGGCTCAGCCCTGTTCCTAACTTCTCTGAGCTTCAATTTTTCTAAAATGTGGCAAAATCTGGGACGGGCTGAACAAGACGATTTAGGAGTTCTGTTCCAGCTACAAGTCTATAATTAGTGTCAGGCTGACAGACGACAGTGCTAACATTCAGTTGTGTGTTCCCTTAAAGTCAGGTTCTTGCTATAGCAATGACATCGCTCCATGAAAAAAATTAAAGTATGACTTATATACAGTAAAATTCATCCTATTTTAGTGTAGAGTTCTGTGTGTTTTGACAAACATATAGTACTGAAGCCACCACAATTAAAACGTAGAATGTTCTATCACTCCCCAAAATCCCCTGTGCCCCTTTGCAGTCAACCCTTCTCTCTGCCCCAAGGCAACCACTGATGATCTGTTTTCTGTCCCTACAGTTTTGCCTTAGCAAGAATGTCACCTAAACAGAACCATCAAGTACACAGCCACTTGAGCCTGGCTTCTTTCACTTGGCGTAATCTGAGACTTGCCCATGTCGCTGCAGCTATCGGTAGTGTGCTCCTTTTTAAGCTGAGTATCCACTGTGTGGATGTACAGTTTGTTTACCCTTTCCCCAGGGGAGGGACATTTGGGTCATCCTCAGTTTTCCGTGATTATGAATGACTGACTAACTTCTGAAGTAAACAAAACTGAATACTGTTCCAACTGCTGCTTCTATACAAAGGCAGAAATTTCAAAATCTCAGGAGGAAAGAAATACTAGCTATCGCCAAAAGTACAAAAAACAAAACAAAACAAAACAAAAAAACTCTAACAAAAAAACTGACCGAAATTATACATTACTTGAGCTAAGGCTATCCAGGCAACTAAAACAATTTATTTTTGGTTGCATTTATATCAATTCATGTGGATCAAAAGTTCAGATTAGCAGCTGTGTAGTTTTGATGAATAAAAAAAGGAAAAAATTATTGCTTAGTAAACATAGTTTGGTAGACAAAAATTTTCAAAACATGAAGTCAACTGGGAGAAAAATAATTAAAAGGAATGCTTATGTATACAAAGGATCAGCTGAGGCCCTCTGACCTACAGAACATGAAGCCTCTTCAAATGAAACCCCGTCCGGAAACAAAGTATCATTAGGGAACACAGATATGCTGAACAAAACAGTGAGGCCAAGGACAGGCAAAGAAAGGTTAAGGTTTTTCACTTCAACAGGGTAAGGTACCCGTTTAGAAAGTAAAACCCCAATTACCAGAATCCTAAAATTAGCCATGTTTTTGTTTTCTGTATTTCATTCTAAGTTTGAAGAAAATAAACAAAAATTAATAATAGATTAATTGTTCAGAAGTGGTACTTCTACAGACTCCACAGCCATTTTTTATATCTTATTACAACTAATTACAGAAACTGTACCAAAAAGTTTTTAATTAGAAGTATAATGTTAACATTAAGATTTACATATTTTCAGGCAATTCATGACAACCAACAGCAACTAGGAATTATCAGCTGGTCATCTAATACTTTTGATCAAAGTTCTCAAATCTTATATATCATAAAATGTTCTAACCAGGAACCACTAGTGGCAAATCAGAAGGAAAAAGATTATTAACCAACACAGGTTCAAACAGGGCGAGACAGGAGGGTGAGAGGAAAAGCCCACAGCTACTCACAAGTCGCACCTGACACTTCATTTAATCAAGTAAAACTAAAAAACCAAATGAAATTACTTCTACATCTAACTAATAGCCTAAAATAGTCACACAAATGCTTACTTTAGAAGCTTTTCAAATGCATCCAGAAAGTCTTCACTGGTCATTATTGTACAGAATATGTTTCTCCGGATGTCGGTGTTCATTCTCTGCTTGCGGGCAAGGTCTAGTATCTTTGAACTAACCTGAAATGAACAATTAAAGCACAGATCATACATATGTTTCAATGAAATTTGTTTCTTGAGAAATACTATGCCATGCTTTGGTTTAGTGCAGTTTCTAAAAAATGTATTTTTGTGCAGCTTTACTTACTGTAATTGTAAATCAATACTAAATCTTTATTTTTGGGCAACCTCTCACAAATAGAGGAAAAACAGCACAAGACAAAGAAAGCCACTGAGTAAGAAAAACATTTGATTTAGGAAATTCTTCTCACTAGAGATATGATCTGAGTCAGTTACAAGCAACAATGAAATAAAACACAAATAAGTGGGCACAGCCAGAGGAGCCTAAAAGATAGGCCGACTAACCGTAATGTGGTATTCTGGATGGGATCCTGGACAGAAACAGGACGTCAGGCAAAAACTAAGGGAATCTGAATAAAGTATGGACTTTAATTATTAACAATAAAATATTAAGAAGGGCAAAGAACTATAACAGCCTGAAAGCAAGGGCAAATGGAATAGAACCTCATCTTCTAATTTTAAGCTTCAAATGCGGGTATCTACAAAATGTATCATCTAATTAATCTTTTTAAAAAAAATAAACAACAGAAATTATATTACAGAATAATAGCAACTTCTGTCAGGTCTTCAAATACAAACATCTGTACATTTCCATAATCGTTTCATAAATAATAGAGTAGCTACGCTAGGTACAGCAATGCACTACACAGTAAGAGGGACACACAAGTAGTAACATCAGGAATCACCATACCGTCCCTACAAGCTGCTTCTGCTGCATATCACTGCTGTCAATCATTGGGGCTCCGCTCCACGATGACCCTATAATCCACCAACGGCCAACCTGCTCTGCATTCAAGACACTCTCCCAGGACACTCGAAGCCGAGTTTCTGTACCTGAGCCAACACTGCGCACCTGATGAACAGAAAAAAAGATCTAGTGGCGATGTTTCCAACCTGCTGGTATTGTGTACTACCATCGTCCTCGAGCTCGTTTGGTTTTAGAATGGCATTTTTGGTGCATGAATATTTCTGACACGAAATCACTGACAACTGTGACAGTTCAATCTGTTTGGAATAATGCCAAACGCAGACGAGAACTTACATTATTTTGTGTTTCAGGTTGTATGATACCGCACATGATTCTATCTCCCCAAAACAGCTTTTTCTTTGGAAAGTTGTTGCACCAGAGGAAGAGTGATCTGAGCTGCTTACACTCAGGGGCCAAACAGTGTGCGTTCTGTCAGGAGGCCAGATGAAGAGCTTGGTTTTGCCCAAGTCAATGACTAGTTTAAGACTGGGGACAAAAGACTGAACCCGACGGGTGAGATCACTGGGACTCGACCCTGGACTGGATGTCAGAAGCACCTAAAGAGCTTAAAAAAAAGATGCCTCCCGCCCCCCATTCTGATTTAATGGGTCTGAGGCTGGACTCTGGCAGTGGCATTTTAAATAAGCTATCAGATGATTCTACTGTGCAGCCAGAGTTCAGTACCACTGAGTTAATGCACGGGATGCTTAACAACAGGAATTCTTCCCGACATAGACATTACATTCCATATAAAGAGCTCTTGAGACTACTCAAAAGGTCTCAAAGAAAGACACATTCAAAGTTTCAATTCGATATCTTTAGAACTCTTAATAACAGACATCACATGACACCTGACTTTTAGATCCTGATCATTCTGATTTGGATTACAGACTCATGTTGACATGGAAGTTCAAAACAAATTAGAATTAAAAGTTATTTACCAAAGCTCTCTGTAATTTCCTCAGTTTCTCTACAGGCTCCGGATCATAGCCTGGAATTTTACGCATGTCGTTATTCTTCAGTGCCAACATAGTCTCTAGCATGAACCGAATCTTACAAAAAATAAAAAATTAGAAAACCAATTATTTCAAATATTCTAAACAACTGATTATTCAAGTTGGTAAGAAATACATCACACTTTATGCACCTGGTCATCACTGCTCATAATACAAAAATTAGAGATGCTCTTTAGGTAAAGACGTTGTTGTGTGCCATTGAATCGATTCTGACTCAGTAACCCTACAGGATGATGGCGGAGGACCGGGCAGTGTTTCTTTGTTATGCATGGGATTGCTATGAGTTGGAACAGACTCCATGGCACCTAACAACAAAAACAACAACAATCTTTATGGAAGCAGATTGGCAGGTCTCTTCTCCTACAGAGCAGCTGGTGGGTTCCATCTAACAACCTTTCTGTTAGGCTGTAATCTCTAAGGGAGCAGGTCCCCAGGTCTTTTTGCCATGGAGCTGCTGGGTGGGTCTGAACCATCACTTTCTGTCTCTGTAGACATTTTTATTTTTTAAGTTATCATTTAAGTATAACTTACTCCTCGCATCTTAAAACCAGCTCTTTCCACGCTACCATCCCTTTTCTCCATTCCCCCAACACTCTCTCCTCTTCTTCAGAAAATTCTCTAATACTTAAACGTTGTTAGGTTGTTAGATGCCATTGAGTCGCTTCCGACTCATGCTGCAGCCACCATGTCAATCCATCTCATTGAGGGTCTTCCTCTTTTTCACTAACCCTATACTATACCAAGTCCCCCTTCTCCAGGGACTGGTGCCTCCTGCTAACACGTCCAAAGTACGTAAGACAAAGTCTCGCCATCCTTGCTTCTAAGGAGCAATGTGGCTGTACATCTTCCAAGACAGATTTGTTCGTTCTTCTGGCAGTCCATGATATATTCAATATTCTTCACCAACACCATAATTCAAAGGCGTCAATTCTTCTTTGGTCTTCCTTATTCACTGTCCAGCTTTCACATGAGGTGACTGAAAACACCATGGCTTGGGTCAGGCACACCTCAGTTCTCAAAGTGACATCCTTACTTTTCAACACTTTAAAGAGGTCTTTTGTGGCAGATCTGCCCAATGCAATATGTTGTCTGATTTCTTAGACTAATGTTTCCATGGGTGTTGATTGTGGTTCCAAATAAAATGAAATCCTTGACAACTTCAATCTTGTCTCCATTTATCACGATGTTGTTTATCGATCCAGTTGTGAAGATCTTTTTGTTGAGATGCAAACCATACTGAAGGCTGCAGTCTTTGATCTGCATCAGTGAGTGCTTCACTTTCACTTTCAGCAAGCAATGTTGTATCATTTGCATATCACAGATTGTTAATGAGTCTTCCTCTAATCCTCATGCTCCATTCTTCATACAGTCTAGCTTCTTGGATTATACTGCTCAGCATATAGACTGAATAAGCACGGTGAAATGATACAACCCTGACACTCACCTTTTCTGACTTTAAACCATGCAGTACCCTTGTTCTATTCAAATGACTGACTCTTGGTCTATGTACAGGATCCTCATGAGCACAATTAGGTGTTCTGAATTCCATTGTTCACAACGTTATCCATAGTTTGTTATGATCCACACAGTTGAATGCCTTTGCAGAGTAAATAAAACACAGGTAAACAGCTTTCTGGTATTCTCTGCTTTCAGCCAAGATCTATTTGACATCAGCAATGATATCCCTCCTTCCATGTCCTCTTCTCAATCTGGCTTTAACTTTTGGCACTTCCCTGCTGATTTACTGCTCCAACTGTTTTTGATTTATCTTCAGCAAAATTTTACTTGCATGTGATATTAGTGGTATTTTTCAATAATTTCCATGTTCTGCTGGATTGCCTTTCTTTGGAACGGGCACAAATATGGACTGCTTCCAGTCAGTTGACCAGGTAGCTGTCTTCCAAATTTCTTGGCATAGACGAGTGAGGATCTCCAGCCCTCCATCCATCTCAGTTGGTATTCTGTCAATTCCTGGAGCCTTGTTTTTTGCCAGTGCCTTCAGTGCAGCTTAGATCTTCCTTCAGTACCATCGGTTCTTGACCATATGCTACCTCCTGAAATGGCTGAATGTCAACCAATTCTTTTTGGTACAGCATGTCTGTGTATTCCTTCCATCTTCTTTTGATGCTCCCTGCTTCACCAATATTTTCCCCATAGAAGCCTTCAATACTGCATCTGGAGGCTTGAATTTTTTCTTCAGTTCTTTCAGATTGAGAAATGCCGAGCGTGTTCTTCCCTTTTGGTTTTCTAACTCCAGATCTTTGCACATTTCATTAGAAGACTTCACTTTGTCTTTTCAAGCTGGCCTTTGAAATTTTCTGTTCAGCTCTTTGACTTCATCATTTCTTCCCTTCACTTTAGCTACCAGACATTTAAGAGCAAGTTTCAGAGTTTCTTCTGACATTAATTTTGGTCTTTTCTTTCCTGTCTTTTTAATGACCTTTTGCTTTCTTTGTGTATGATATCCTTGCACAACTCGTCTAGTCTTCGGTCATTAGTGTTCAATGCATCAAATCTATTCTTGAGATGGTCTGTAAATTCAGGTGAGATATACTCAAGATCGTATTTTGGCTCTCGTGGACTTGATCTAGTTTTCTTCAGCTTCAACTTGAACTTGCACAGGAGCAAGCAATCGTCTGTTCTGCAGCTGGCCCCTGGCCTTGTTCTGACCGATGATAGTGAGCTTCTCCATCATCTCTTTCAACAGATGTAGTTGATTTGATCCCTGTGTATTCCATCTGGCGATGTCCATGTGTATTGTTCACCATTTATGCTGCTGAGAAAAGGTATTTGCAATGAAGAAGTCATCGATCTTGCAAAATTCTACCATGCCATCTCTGGTATCATTTGTATCACCAAGGCCATATTTTCCAACTACTGATCCTACTTCTTTGTTTCCAACTTTCACATTCCAATCACTAGTAATTATCAATGCATCTTGACTGCATGTTTGATCAATTTCAGACCGTAGAAGTTGGTAAAAATCTTCAGTTTACTCAACTTTGGCATTAGTGGTTGGTATATGTCTTAGTCATCTAGCGCTGCTATAACAGAAATACCACAAGTGGATGGTTTTAACAAAGAGAAGTATGTTCTCTCATAGTCCAGTAGGCTACAATCCAAATTTAGGGTGCTGGCTCCAGGGCAAGGCTTTCTCTCTGTCGGCTCTGGAGGAAGGTCCTTGTCCTCAATCTTCCCCTGGTTGAGGAGCTTCTCAGGCGTAGGGACCTCAGGTCCAAAGGACGCACTCTGCTCCCGGTGCTGCTCTCTTGGTGGTATGAGGTCCCCGATTCTCTGCTTGCTTCCCTTTCCTTTTATCTCTTGTAAGATAAAAGGTGGTGCAGGCCATACCCCAGGGAAACTCCTTTTACATTGCATCAGGGATGTGACCTTAGTAAGGGGTGTTACAATCCCACCTTAATCCCCTTTAACATCAAATTACAATCACAAAATGGAGGATAACCACACAATACTGGGAATCACGGCCCAGCCAAATTGCTACACACATTTTTTGGGGGACATAATTCAATCCATGACAGTGTGTAAATCTGATTAACAGCTGTATTTTCTGGTCTTCCTTGTAGGCGTATTGATATTATTCTATCACTGACAGCACTGTGCTTCAGGACAGATCTTGAAATGTTCGCTTTGATGACGAATGTGACACCATTCCTCTTCAATTTGTCATTCCTGGCATAGTAGACCATATGATTGTTCAATTCAAAACGGCCAACACCAGTCCATTTCTGATCACTAATGCCTAGGATATCGATCTTTATGCAGTTCATTTCATTTCTGATGACTTTCAAGTTTTTTAGATTCATACTTCCATACATTTCATGTTCCAATTATTAATACATGTTTGCAGCTGTTTCTTCTCATTTTGCGTCATGCCACCTCAGCAAACGAAAGTCCCGAAACATTACTCTTATAACTCCTCTTAAATATAACCATCAATAACTACCTCTATTATAACTTAATCCAAAATTAAGATTTTAGTCCTTATCTTACTTGACTTCTTAGCATTCAACACAGAGAGTAAATTCTTCTTGAAACACTCTTCACTCCTGGCTTCTGTGACTTACCTCTGACTGCTTTTCATTCTCATCTGCCAGGTCCTCCTCCTCTAAGCAGTAAAATGCTGGAGCTCTTTAAGGCTCTCTTCACTTCTTGCTGTGTAGTAGGCAACTGTATTCACTTCCAAGGCTTCAAGGACCATTTATAGGATGATGACTCTCAAATCTCCTAGCTCACACTTTTCTTCTCATCTTGATATCTAACCCAAATACTTTAAATTCAATGTCTCAAAAACTGGGCTGTCTTCTCTTTCAAACCTGCTTCTCCAGCATTTGCTATCTATGTAGATGGTACAACCATTCACCTGCCTGCTCAAGCTAGAAACCTAGGGGTGATCCTTAACTGCTCCTTTCCTTTGTCCCTCACCCCACATCCAATCTACACCAAGTCAGATCAATTCTAACTCCAAAACCATATCTACTGCTACTACGTTAATGTGAGTCACCAGTCTCTCCCCTGGACTCCTGAGATAGCATCTCCCAACCCTGACCACCTCCAATCTCCTTTCTACGTTAAACCCAAGTGGCCATTAAAATGAAAATGTGAACACCATCATTTGCCTGCTTAGAATCCTTCATATGTCCTTAGGATAAAATTCCAAGCCTTTGCAATGGCTTAAAGTGCCACTTATAAGGAGAAGAGAACTCTATTTCTTTGGCCTCGTTTTCCTCCAGGCTCCCCATATAATCTTTTTCTGGTTCCTCAAAAAAGCCATATTCTTTCTTACCTGAAAGACTTCTCATGTGCTGTTCTGTGCCTCTCAATCATCGTAAGAACAAATGAGATAGGAACTATTATCAGCCCTTGTTTTACAGATGAGGAAACTTGGCCCGGCAGACTTAGATTATGCTGCTGTTATGTGGCAGGGCCAGAAGTCTGACCCAGGCCAGGTGACACTTGTGCCCTGTCATGGTTTGAATTGTGTTCACCAAAAAATGTGTGTGTTAATTTGGCTGGGCCATGATTCCCAGAATTGTGTGGTTGGCCTACATTTTGTGATTGTAAACGATTGTAAATGTTAAAGAGGATTAGGGTGGGATTATAACACCACCCTTACCCAGGTCACATCTCTGATCCAATGTAAAGGGAGTTTCCCTAGGGTGTGGCCTCCACCACCTTTTACAAGAGATGAAAGGAAAGGAAAGCAAGCAGAGAATTGGGGACCTCATACCACCAAGAAAGCAGTGCCAGGAGCAGAGTGCGTCCTTTGGACCCGGGGTCCCTGCGTGGAGAAGCTCCAAGTCTGGGGGAACACTGATGAGAAGAAGGCTGACAGAGAGAGAAAGCCTTCCCCTGGAGCTGACGCCCTGAATTTGGACTTGTAGCCTACTGGACTGTGAGAGAATAAATTTCTCCTTATTAAAACCATCCACTTGTGGTATTTCTGTTAGAGCAGCACTAGATGACTAAGACATGCCCCACCGTCCTTCCTCTATAAGCTTCTTCTGAATGGATGAATGTCAAATAAATCAATTCTTAAATTCACAATTTAATTGAGTTCTTAGTAAGAAACCACGTTCTTTCACATATTAATGATAAAGCCATAAAACTAGATGAAGCAGAAGATAACAGAAATTATAAGGAAATTAAATGTAATATTTACCCCAAATACTTAACGTTTAAGTTCTGGTCAGTTTATGAGTGTTTAGGTACTTATGAAGCAGGTCAAGTGATGTAACCATACCCTGGTCTGATCCTGAAACTTGCTGCCTGCTCCACTGGCTTTCTTCTGAGCTTCAGTGATCAGTTCCTTCAGTGATAAAGCATCATCTTTTCTCAGTGAAAACCCCACATTTTTCAGCATTAACAGGATCAACTCGATATCTTTTTCTGTGAAAGTTCCAATAAGTTTTTTCAAGATATCAAAGATGAGGAGAGGCTGTACCACATGGAAGTTATATAAATGGGCAAGAATGGAAAAAAGGTTATCACATTCCTTCCCTTCACTTCCGTTTTTATATACATCATCAAATTTCCTCACCACAGCCTCCAAAAAGTGGGCACCAACCTGAAAAAAGGATTAAAAAAAAAATTAAAAATACATAAAAATTAAATTGTTAGTAAGTTATTCTGAGAGATCCTTCTTCCCCCAATAAGTACTTAATGCTTTATATATGATGAGAGAACACTAAACAGTAAATGACAACATAAAGCAATCTGCCGTCATACTTGAATCTCTAACTCTAAGCAAACCCTCTTCTCTTTAAAATCAATAAGGTTGTTATTTTTTGGTCAGCAGCCATTCTGGTTACTTAGAAAAATGAAATTGCTAAAAGTTTTGTTTAAAACATACTTATATCTCTAAAAATGCTCTACTAACCAACAGAAGTAGTTTCTCAAAAGACTTTCTTCAGGCTCTTACTCTTAGCTAATTTTTTACAATGAAACCATACAATTGATATTAAAAGTAAAAACCAAAACCCAAACACATTATCAAGTAATAACAAAGCTCCTAAAGTTATTTAATGTCTGTAAAGGACACAAATGCAATAGGTGACATGGCCCCTATTTTCTTGTTGTACAGGAAATATGCAAATATGCACGTAATAATACACTAGCCCCTGTGGCTGTAAGGGATGAATGTGCTGCTCTTCAGGAACCAACAAATAAACAAGAAGTTACATTTCAGGGAACAGCATGTGACCCAGGAACTGTATGTTGTTTGGTAAAGCTATGAGAAGTCACTGAAGTTTCTTTTTATCATTCTGATGAATTTCTATTCCAAATCCCATAGTGTAGTTTGGAATGAGAAAGACGGGATTTGAATTCTGGTTTACCCACTTGCCCCAACTGTGTGGTCTGAGCAGATGACTGAACCTCTCTCAGTTTTTCACTCTGTAAAACTGGGATAATGAAACTTGAAGGCAGAAATGATGGTTATTATTTTGTTGTTGTCATTACTATCATAACATCATTTTCTTTCAAATCTTAGCTCAAGTTGAGAGAACTGGAAGAAGAAAAGAATGGCAGCATGGACACAATGGTGATATGAAGTATGTCAACAGTCTAGTTAAGAAATGATTATCTGAATTAAGGCAGTTGTACTGGATCTAGAAAGAAAAGAAAGGGCACTTGAGTGATTCTGTGACAGAACTGGTAGGTTGAGGCGATACATGGATGTGAAAGATTAAATGCCCATGATTCCTAGGTTTTGTCTGGGTAATGGGATAGATGACAGTGCTTGTAATTGGAGCAGCAAATACACGAGGCAGAGCAGGTTAGTGGGGGTGGACAAAATCTATTTCAGACTTATTAAGCTTGAACTGTGGGACTCCAGGTGGGATTGATCGTAGATGTGTAAGTGATAACTAAAACCAAGGCGAAGATGAGGTCAATGAGAAAGGGTAGAGTGTAGTGGAAAAATACACATTCATTGCTAGTAGACTGTAAAAACCAAATGCTGGAAGTAATTAATGTTGCTAAATTGTACATTTAAAATTGGTTAAAATGGCAATTTTTTTGTTATATATATTTTACAATAAAATTTAAAAAATTAACAATTTAAAACAAACAAAACACAAATGCTAGAAGAAGCCAGAGAAAGGCAATATATTGGCAGACTAGACTTCATGTAGGCTATCTGATATACTGGCTACATTTTTTGTTTTTAAAGACTTGTAAACTCCCAATTCAAGCCCCTTTACTAAAGATAAAACTGAATAATACACTCTCCCTAATATGACCACATTATGTTAAAATATAATTGAAAAAGAGAAATTAGAATTATGCAGACATAAAAAAAATTCAGGCACAAAATATACTCAAGTATGTTTTCAATCACAGATTTAGTTACAACAAAATCTGTAAAAATTAAGAAATTTTAAATTCCATTTAGTGTCTTCAAAATATAATTTAGTATAACATTTAAAAATATGAAAATCCATTTTGCTACATAAGAATAAAGTTATTTAAGCACATATATTAATTCTGATATGGGAATTTTTTTAGCAAAAATCTTCATATACCTGATTTTTGATTCTGAAATGACTTTTAGAAGCAATTCAGCAGCTGACACCACAGTCTTTAGAACATTTTTTTTCTTCCCTGAATTCCTGTGAGAATGTTTCTCATTACAGAATGAAAGCAGTTTAATGGCACCAGCATCCTGAGAGCTCGTCACAGTTTGGCAGAAGTTTTAGTGGATGTCATTAGCTAAAGTACCATAATGACTTCCCCTTGGAACAAGTAATTTCAGTTGTTCTTCATGCTATTAGCGAAGGTATAAATGAGAAGTAGGACCAATAATCTCATGTCTTCAAATCAAGTAAATTCCTGACATGTTGTGAGTGGCCGGGGTCTATGGCTTTTACTATAACTAACTGAAAACACTGTCTATACTAAAGTCATTTTGATGGTTAAATCTGTTCACAGTACAGCAGTGTGGTTTAGGAGGACCAGAAGGATGAACTAAGAAAGCCATATAATGGCACTAAATTAGGGCAATCAAAGGGCACTAAGAATGGCACTCAGTGATTCCATTACACTTTGTAATGGAAAAGAAAATGGACTTATAGCATTCATAAGTGAAAATGAGAACAGCTCTAAGAAATTAAAAATTTCAAAAAGAGCAATTCCCAAAATAGTTGGTGCAGATTTTTCTCAGCAGAGATCACTGATGTAGCTGCGAAGAGCTCCTATTGGGCCCGAGCCACAGGGCCAACAGGTTCTCTTTTTCCGTCTCCACTGCCAATGCCTGGGTCCTAAAGCCTCCAGCTTTCAAAAACTGTCCATTATGTAACTACTGCTGGATAAGGAAAATGTAGTTAAGACGACTATCTAGGAACAGCAACAAAACCTGCAGTGTAGGGAAAGCCAGCTAGGAAAAAGTGGAAGAACTGCAAAATTTCAACATAAAAATTTCCTTTCATATTATAAATAATAATTACTAACCTTTAATAAGCACTTACTATGGGCCAGGTGGAGCCCTGGTGGCACAGTGGTTAAGAGCTCAGCTGTTAACCAAAAGGTCGGCAGTTTGAATCCACCACCAGCTGCTCCTTGGAAACCCTGTGAGGCAGTTCTGCTCTGTCCTATAGGGTCGCTATGAGTCGGAATTGACTCGATGGCGACGGGTTTGGGTTTTTTTTTCAAATGGGCCAGGTGCTTTTCTATACTTATATGTAATAACTCGTTAAACTTAATAACTCTACAGATGAAGAAACCAAGGCACAGAGAAACTACCAAGTTCACACAGCCAGTAAGCAGCAGAGCCACGTTCTAACCTCAGGTGGCACTCTTCACCACCACACTGCACTGCTTTCGTGCTTCTAACAACATGCAGGGTGATTCACTGTGGCAAGTTTGTCCATTTTAAAGTAAGCCTTTGACAGTTCCACTCTACAAGACTCTAAATACTTTTTAAGACTATGATTAAAAGCAAATAACATAAAAATGAAATTAATTTGAATAGCATTGTGGCAGAAGCATGCTGGCTTAGAAGCTAGGAAAACAAGTTCTAGTTTACGTTTAACAAGCCTTGTGATCTTGGGATTACCAAATAACTGTTCAGGGGCTTTGTTTGCTGCATTGCAAAGTGAGGTTAAACAGGTATCTGCCCTACTTATCTCACTGGGAAATTGTGCAGGTCAGACATAAGGAAGACGAAGATGCACATAAACTTACACCAGCAAATCAGACTTTCAGGGATGCTTTGCTGCCTTGGAGGAGCCCTAGTGGTGCAGTGGTTAAGAGCTCGGCTGCTAACCAAAAGGTTGGCAGTTCAAATCCACCACTGCTCCTTGGAAACCCTATGGGGCAGTTCTACTCTGTCCTATAGGGTCGCTATGAGTCAGAATCGACTTGATGGCAACGGGTTTGGTTTTTTTTTCTCCTACTTTAGACTATTCTTGGGAATATCAAGAATATTAAGTATCAGAAGGCAAAGAATAATTGGGAAAATGAAGCCTCATTAACCCACCTTAGTATAAACTCCTTTAATCAGATTTCTGTTAACATAATCAAAATCAGCTACATTGTGGGAATTGGAACACTGAGTGGGAACGTTATAATTTATTGTGTTATACTATCACAAGAGGAGGAGGCTGTCAAAGGCAGGTACCTGTGGCACCAGAGTTATCACCACGGAGTCTTCCCTGACTTTAAACCATCAGAGGGTCACTGAGCAAGGACAAAGCATACAAGAGTGGGGGACAAATATGTATTTAGCACCTATTAGGTACCAGCTAAGGATTCCTGGTGGCACAGTGGTTAAAGCATTGGACTGCTAACTGAAAGGTCAGTGTTCTGAACCCACCAGCCACTCCATGGGAGAAAGGTGTGACAGTCTGCTTCTGTATAAATTGGAAACCCTATGGGGGCAGTTCTACTCTGTCCTACAGAGTCATTATGAGTTGGAATCAACTCCACGGCAGTGGGTTTGGTTTTGGGTTTTAGGGACCAGCTAGATGCTTTATACATGTTGTCCAATATAATCCTGACAAAGCCCCACGAGACAGCTACTGTCACCCCATTTTACAGACGAGGAAACTGCGACAGAAAGGGCACGTAACCTACCTTGAAGGAACCAGGTGACTTCAAGTTTCTTTCTTATAGTTCTTTAATGCCCAATTTCACCTTACATTCTGGTGGTCTTCTTACTGATTAAAGATAATTAATAACCCAATACAAATACCTCCGTAGCCAAACCATGCAAATCACTATCTTTGAACATCTGAAATAAGTCCATTTAAGGTAGGGAATATACAGAACATGAAGGCAAGTCCAAGATGTCAGTCCAGAAGAAAATATATTAATATGTGAAGACTCATTAGAATGCACAGAAGAAAAAAAGCAAAGTTGGCCAAAATCAAGTATTTATTGAATCCTGTTTAGAATTATATGATACAGAAAAGTTACACACTATTAACAAACTGGAGAGAAGGGTGGATGGAAAATCAGCAAGAAAAATACAAAACATACCTCAATTCCTACTGTGTGATGAAGAACGCTAACTAAAAGAACATGCTCCATCATCAGCCGGGTGGGCATGACCGCCCCAGTAACACACGCACTCATGAGGACACCAGTTAAAGTGTCGTTCATGTCCTTCCTACTGTTAGCCATATACAGTTCCTCCAACTGTCCACTTATAGAGGCCATGTTTGGTTCACTCAACCTGTACAGAATTGTCAATGCAAACAGCAAAAATGTTTAAGAATTATTTTCAGCTTAATTAAAAAAAAAAAAAAAAAAGCAGTTATCAATACTATCAATCTGTGCTATTTTACATACACTTTTGAGCCATAAACAATTCTTATCTTGCCCCAATAACCTAGCATACACAGTACGTAACTACACAACACTCTGGAATCTTGAAATAGTGTAATTGTTGGGGATTGCTACATCTCTTTACAGCTGAAATGAGGCCATCCTGAACCATACACAGGACTCACTTTAAGGCCACAATGAGGATACTCCACTGTGTATCCTGATCTGATATCTCCACAGAAAGGCAGGGAACCAACCTTAGACAGTATTTGTTGTTAGGAAAAAGTGTCACTTTTCCATTTTTTAGATAGCATAAAAATCTTTAGTTTCTAACACTGAGAAAACATCGCTCCACCTTACTGGGGAGGGGAAGAGTACATACGCACACAGAGCATTAGTCATGCTAGGTAAAATTTCAAGAGGTACCATGGAAATAGTGTCCTGGTTTTATTTAAAAAAGAAAAAAAGAAAAAAAAACAAGCGTGCCCTATGGGGAAGGGGTAGGTGTGACCATAAAGGGACAGCATGCGGGGCGCCTTGGGGTGGTGAAACGGTTCTGCATTGTGAGCGTGATGGTGGTTACGTGAATCTACACACGCAAAAACTGCGGAGAAACACACACACAAATGAGTGCAAAATGAACACGTGTAAAACTGATAAAATCTCCATAAACTCTGTGGATTGTACTTACGTCAATTTTCTGCTTTTTTTTTTTTTTAATTTTGATTAAAAACAATTTTTAAAAATTATAATTATGCAACATGTTACCTCTGGGGGAAACTGGGTGAAAAGTACACAGGACCTCCCTATACATTTTTTGCAATTCTCTATGAATCTATAATTATTTCAAAGTAAAAAGTTAAACAAAAATAAATAAAAAATTAAAAAGCAATACATTTTCAAAATTTGGCAAAACTGAGAAGTCAGGATAGTGGTTACCCAAGTGACTGCGAAGAGGGGCATGAGGGTGGCTTCTGGGGTGAGGGTGGCAAGAAAGAACTGGAGAAGGGACATTAGCAGATGAAGAGATTTTAACTCATTTTTCAAAAACAGAGAGCAGAAGGAGGAGGGATAACTAACAAAAGCCCCACCACATGGTTTTGGGAGCCCTGATGGCATAGCGGTTAAGAGCTCTGCTGCTAACCAAAAAAAGGTCAGCAGTTCGAATCCACCAGCTGCTCCTTGGAAACCCCATGGGGCAGTTACTCTGTCCTATTGGGTAGTTATGAGCTGGAATTGACAGAAAGGGGTTTGGTTTTGGGTTTATATGGTTTCTAATCAACTTTGTTTTATTCTTAAATTGAATAACAAAAACAAACAAACCCAGGTATGAGTAACGAGCAAGGGGAGGTGTTAAAGACCAAGTTCTTGGCGGGGCCGACAAACACACAGTAAAGGGAGCCTGTCCAGTCCTACCTACCTCTACTTCTCCAGGACACAGAACCTCTCGCCCCTACTCCTCTGTGACCCACAAGCTTCTCCTCAGAGGAACAACGTGAGCATGTAAGTTGCTTTCAAACTCTGAAGAGATTCAAAGTACCAAGTAGTTGTGTACCATCTTCTTAACTAGGCATTGGGTCTGGTGCTTAAGAATGGAAGAGAAAGGGTCCAATCAACCACTATAATTCCAGCCCCCATTACTTAACATTTTAATTTCTGGGATAGTTTCTATATTTTTAGAAAACAATTGACTTCTTTAAGTGACACAATATAATAATTTTGCAGAGTTACCTGTTAATTAGGCCTTTTACTTGTTTCTTTAACCGTTCTAGTTCCTCCTTTTTTTGAGTATCCATGGTTTCCTCAGCTCGCCTCACGTGAGGTAGAGTATACTTCTCACCACTATCACAAAGGCTCTGCTTGAAAGAACAGAAATACATTACAAAATAATCTACATTAAATAAATCTCATTTTTTTCCTTGCTAAACGCATATTTAAATTCTAAATTCCCAAGAACTGGTAGCATTTATTTACTACTGACCATTGCTATTTATTAAACATCAGCTATTTACTGAGTGTCTAGTCCAGTCCTATATAAGCCTTCTGCTCACTATTTATGTTACTGTCAGTACATTTGATCATCTTGTTTTCCCCTCTGTAAACCTGGCTGTGCAACTCTGGTATATGCCTTATAGTCTACAATGTCTTCTGCCCAGGCTGAATTTACTGCAGGCCTAGTAGCATCCAAACACTTAAACTGAATTTACCACCAGTTTTGAAGAGAAAGTGTCCTAAGATAATTTCAAAGTTGTTCAAAACCAGTATCTAAGTTTATACGATAAAATCACAATGAATCCACTGCCCACTATTTTCCCAGATGGTATCACCTGGGAGGTTACAAATCATCACAGACCAACACTGCCTGGGCATGTAAAAAACAGGCCGTAAGGAGATAATAAACACTTGCAAGGCGTGATTCTTGCTGTTAGGTATTTTAAATTTATTTGGAGAAAGCACATTTATGTAAACAGAAGATGAAACAATTGATACTCTCAGGACACACATTACTTCAGACTGTCAATTGTACCTCAATAAGGCTGTTAAAGAAAATTTAGGAACAGTAAAAAAAAAAAATCACATTATAAAAGAACTCAGGGAGTGCCCACAGTGTGCCAGGTGTTAAAGCACCAGGGATAGGGATAAAAGGCAATTTATATACTTACGATGGGAAAGGATTTCCAGAGATGTTTGACATTAACAGATAAACAGAAACTACAGCCAGTGAGCTAAGAAGGAAAGGCCTTGCAGTCAGAAGGAACGATGTATTTATAGGCAGAATGCCAGAATGGAGATGTGGAGGAAATGCAGGCAATTCCATACAGCTCTCTTCAAGGTGGACAAAAGGGAACGTTGAGATGAAGTTGTTTAAACAGGCATGGGGCCAGACTACAAAGGCCTTGATTGCTACGTCATGGATTCTGAACTTTATCTTAAATAGGAGAAACTTTATCCAAGGGAGTGTTATAGATTAGCTGTTTCAGAAAGTGTTGCTCTGGTAGTAGCTGGATAGGAAATGAGCTAGAATGGAAGCAGAGGCAAGTCAGGGGGTGCTGTAGTTGTCCTTGGAAACCCTATGGGGCAGTTCTACTCTGTCCTACAGAGTCACTATGGTCGGAATTGACTCAACGGCAATGGGTTTTTTTTTTTTTGGGGGGGGGCAGTTGTCCTAGAGACACATGAAAAAGGCTAAACAAAGCACTGGAGGTAGGAATGCGGGCGTGTGGACAGAGGAAGATGGGGTCAAAACTCAGGTTTGAAGAACTGAGACAGTGACTAGAGAATGAAGCAGATGTCACCTTGGGACATCAAATGGAAATGCCAATTAAGTCCCTGGGATAACTGGGTCTCTAGAGATGTTTCCCCCCTTATATTGTGAAATTTAAAAACATAAACAGAATAAAAAAACAAACCCAATTTAACCAACACTCAGCTCAATTAGGAATCCCTGCATGGTGGCTGATGCCCTCAGCTGCTAACTGAAAGGCTGGCAGTTCCAGTCCACCCAGAGGTACCTCAGACGAAAGGCCTGGCAATCTACTTCCAAAAAATCAGCCACAGTAAACCCTCTGGAGCCCAGGTCTACTCTGACACACGAGTTCCTCATGAGTAGCAAGACTCCATGGCAACTGGTTTGGTTTTTTTTGGTCACCTCAATTATTAACATATCAATTTTGTGTCATCTTTCCCTTGCTCTGTACCTGCACCTATTTTGAAGCAAATCCCTGAGTATCTAGAGATTGTTCACACCATACCTGATCTGCTGCGTCACCATCCTCTGAAGAACTTTCACTTTTTTCATCTTCTGCAAAACGGACCCTTTTTTTCCTTTTCCCCCTTTTCTCCTGCGTTCCCCTGTCCACTGCTGCTTCCTCTTCTTCTTCTACATCCTCCTCCTCTTCACTGTCTTCTTCGGTGTCACTCTCCAAATCACTTTCGGGAAGTGTTTGCCCAGTATCCTCCTCTTCCTCCTCACTACTGCTTTCATATAAGCCACTATTCTTCCCAGATCCCAGGGCTCCCAGGATATAGTCTAGCCCATCGCGTGCAAAGCTAAGCGGCACAGAGCTAGAGGTACTGTCACCTTTCTTTTTACGCTTGTTCAAGCCGAGGCAACGCTCCAGCTTTCGGATCTCTCGGTCTTCTTCCTCGTTGGCCTCTAGAAGTGCCCGTTTCCGAGCAGCGGCGGTGGCGGCTGCAGAAGGTTTGGTCTTCCCGGGGGTACCCTTCGGGTTGGCTTGGGCCTTGGGAGCGCTGGCCTTCGCTTGGGGAGGTCGAAGCTTCTTGGGAGGAGGTGGGTCCCGACTTTCGGTGGGGTGAACGCGTTCCTCTTTCTTTTCCGACTGGGGGCCAATCGTTTCTTGGGCCCCGCCGCGGCTTCCTGGGCCTGGACCCTGAGCAGGGCCCGCAGTCCACTGAAACCGGCGAGCTTTCCTCAGCTGTCGCTTCTCCTTTTTCAACTCCTTACGGCTTCTTTTACCCCCCGGGCGGAAGCCTGAGGGTCCGCCGCGACCCTCGGCTCGGGACCCCGGGAGCGGTCCCTTGAAGCCGCCGGGGGCCTCGCCCTCACAGGTCGTCTGCACAAACTCCTCCACCACTAGTTTTAGTCGCTTCATGGCCCCCTTCCCACCACCCCCATGACCGCGGTGCGGCCCGCGCCCGCCTTTGCGCTTCATGGTGGGGGGGTTCAAGCTCAACCGGCGACCGCCCGGGCCGGACCCTACCACGCACACGTGGACGCAGCCACCTCCCAGGGGAACGTGTTGACATCCGTCTTCCGGCCTGGGTGGGGCTGCCGAGTGGGGAAAGGCGCTTTTGAGCGAGGCGCGGGGCTGTGCGGGACACTGCGCCACCTGCTGGCGGGAGGGCGGCACGGGAGGGCGGCAGGGCCCAGAGCCTCTGTGATTGCTGCCGCGTCGGGCCTCTGGAGTAAATTGTGCCTATTTAAAAAATTTTTTTTTAATTTAATTTCATAAGACGGACAAAAATACATTCTCATTTAAAAGGTTTTTAGAAAATCAGATTATGGTAAGGAGACCTCTTAACAACCTGCTCCAAAAGTAACAATGCCTATGGGTATGGTGTGAATCTTATCAGCCATTTTTGCGTTTACTTGCATACATATATACCCACAGGAAAAATTAATGTTGTTTTGTGTGTGCGTTTTACATAAGAAATATCATGCTAAGCTTACTATTCTGTAACTTGGTTTTTTCACCCAACCTCGGGGCTCAGAGATCAATTTAATGACTTCTAATGATTTTCCGTCTAGTGACTTCTATCGTGCATCTGTCAGTTTGTTGTCCTGTGGCGGCTTGGGTGTTGCTGTGATACTGGAAGCCTTGTCACCAGTATTTCAAATACCAGCAGGGTCGCCTTGGTGGACAGATTTCAGCGGAGCTTCCAGACTAAGACAGACTAGGAAGAAAAACCTGGCAGTCTACTTCTGAAAAAATTGGCCAGAGAAAACCTTATGAATAGCAACGGAACATTGTCTGATGTAGTGCCAGAAGATGAGCCCTTCAAGTTGGAAATTACTCAAAATACACTACGGAAGAGCCGCCTCCTCAAAGCAGAGTTGACCTTAATGATGCGGATGGAATTAAGCTTTGGGGACCTTCACTCGCTCGTGTGGCATGACTCACAATGAGAAGAAACAGCTGCAAACATCCATTAATAATCAGAACGTAGAATGTATGAAGTATGAATCCAGGAAAATTGGAAATCGTCAAAAATGAAATGGAACACATAAAGATCGATATTCTAAGCGTTTGTGAGCTGAAATGGACTGATATTAGTCATTTTGAATCAGACAATCATATACATGGTCTACTACGTCAGGAATGACAAATCCCTGTCGCTATACTGCTGCAACTGCTTTTGAGCAATCTTCAGCAAAATTTTACTTGCGTGTGATTTTAATAATATTGTTCGATAATTTTCTCCTTCTGTTAGATCACCTTTCTTTGGAATGGGCATGTATATGAATCTCTTCTAGTCGGTTGGCCAGGTAACTGTTTTCCAAATTTTTTGGCATAAACGAGTGTATGGAGGTACCCTACCATAATTTAGTTAAGTAGTACTCTGATGATAGTTATTATTTCCAGAATGTATTAAAAACGATGCTACAATGAATATCTTTGAACATACAGCACTTTACACTTGTGAGAGTAGTATCTGAAGAATACATTTCTAGAAGTGTAATTTCTGAATCTAAGGGTATGCATTTTGTAAATTTGAGAGATATTGCTATAGGGCTGCCATGGAGATGATGTCAATGAATGAACATTGTTTTTGCCAATTTAATGGGACAAAAAGTATCTCATTGAATTTTAATTTGCATGTTTCTTAATAAAAGTGGAGTTAAGCATTTAATATGCTTCGGTCTATTTCTATTTCCTTTCTGCAAAGTTTTGGTTCATAACTTTTGCTCATTTTTTTATATTTTATAAGTCTTTTTCTTAAAGGAGCTCTTTATGTATTAAAAAGTTAGCTCTTGTTCTTGACATGTGTTGCAAATACAGTGTTTTTCTCTAGTAGATTTTTGGTTTTGTTTATTTTTGTTGTCTTGCCATGGAAATTTTTTTTTAATTTTCACATACGTAGTCAAAATTATCACTTTTATTTTATGACTTTTAGGTTTTGTGTTATACTTTGAAAGTCTTTCCCCACTCAATATTTATTTTTTTAAAGTATCCCCTGTTTTCTTCTTGTACTTTCATGGTTTCATTTTTTAAATATTTAATCTTTGACCTACCTATCATTTATTTCAATGTATAGAGTAAGGTAAGATCAGTTGATTTTTTTTTCAGTAGTTATCCAATGCAAATACAATTTATTGAAAATTTCTTTTTTTCTCACTGATTTGAAATGCCATCTTGATAACATACCATTTTTAAAATGTATTTGAAGCTATTTCTGGGATTTCTACTCTTTTTCATGTATATACATGCTTCAGTACTACACTGCTTTAAATACTGTGGCTTTATAACATGTTTTAATATCAGGTCAATCTTGTCATCCTTATTTTCAGAATTTTTCTCCCCATTCTTTTTGTTTTGTTTTTTCTTAGTGATTCTGCAACATTTGTTTACCACCTACAATATGCTAGACTCTGGTGTTTGTTGTTGTCGATGTTAGTTTCTGTCAAGTCAATTCCGACTCATGGTGACCCCCAGGGTGTCAGAATACAACTGCTCCATAGAGTTTTCAAGGCTGTGACCTTTCGGAAGCATGTTGCCAGGCCTTCAAACCACTAACCTTTCAGCTAGTAGTTGAGCACTTAACTGTTTGTGCCACTCGGGGACTCCAGACTCTGGACTAGGCATCAGGAATCCAGAGGTGATAAAACACAATCTCTCATTTTCTGGTGGGAGAGTCAGAGATGTGTAAAATGATCATTACAATGCAATGAACAGTATTATAAAAGTGTATGTAACTTGTGTTTTCTTTTAAATTATTTTTTTAGGGTCCCAAGTAATGAGATTTCTAGGTTATACTGACAAATTCCTTTCTAAAAGATACCAATTTATACTGCAATGAAGTAATGAGTGTTTCTGTTAATGTAATACATGTAATATCCCTTAATTCTTGCAAGTGCAGAAATATTTCCCAAATATTTTGTTCTCCTTTTTTTGGAAGTGGGCAAGATGTTTTTAAGTACCTGAATTAAAAAAAAAATTATTTTATGATTTTAATGTTTAGAAAATTATCCCTTTAAAGATATAATAATATGCTATGAGACCAGAAGAACTGGATGGTGCCTGGCTATCATTACTGAACATATTGATCAAAGACTCTATAAAAGAACACTGATCAAAAGGAAAACGCAGAACAGGATTTCAAATTCTCATGGACTCCAAACTTCGTAGAGCCATGGCAGCTGGATGAACCACTGAAACTATTGCCCTGATATAATCTTTAAACCGTAAGCCAAAAGTATCTCCTGAAGTCTTTTTTTTTTTTTTTTTTTTTACTTTATTGTGACTTAGGTGAAAGTTTACAGCACAAATTAGTTTTTCATTCAAAAATTTATACACAAATTGTTTTGAGACATTGGTTGCAATCCCTGCAATGTGTCAGCACTCTCCTCCTTTCTACCCTGGGTTTCCTGTGTGCGTTTGACCAGTTTTCCTGTCCCTTCTGCCTTCTCATCTTTGCTTTTGGGCAGGTGTTGCCCATTTGGTCTTGTATACTTGATTGAACTAATAACATGTGTTATTGTTTGTTTTATAGGCCTGTCTAATCTTTGGCTGAAAGATGGACTTTGAGAGTGGCTTCGGTTCTGAGTTAGCAGGGTATCCAGGGGCCATGGGCTTGGGGTTTCTCCAGTTTCTGTCAGACCAGTAACTCTGGTCCTTTTTTTGTGAATTTGAATTTTGTTCTACGTTTTTCTCTTGCTCTGTCTGGGATCTTCTATTGTGATCCCTGTCAGAGCGGTTGTTGGTGGTAGCCGGGCACCATCTAGATCTTCTGGGCTCAGGCTGGTGGAGGTTGTGGTTCATGTGGTCCATTGGTCCTTTGGGCTAATATTTTCCTTGCGTCTCTGGTTGTCTTCATTCTCCTTTGCTTCGGACAGGATGGGACCAATAGATGTATCTTAGATGGCCGTTCACAAGCTTTTAAGAACCCAGATGTTACTCACCAAAGTAGGATGTAGAACATTTTCTTTATGAACTATGTTATGCCAATTGACCTAGATGTACCCCAAGACCATGGTCCGCAGTCCTCAGCCCCAGTAACTCATTCCCTCAAGGGGGCTGGATGTGTCTAGGAAGCTTCTGTGACTTTGCCTTAGTCAAGTTTTGCTGCCTTCCCCTATATTCGGTGTTCCTTCCCTTCACCAGCGTTAACACTTGTCTACTCTCTAGTTAGTGATTTCCTCTTCCCACCCCTCCACTTTCTAGTAACCATCAAAGATTGTTTTTTTCCTGTGTGTGAACCTTTTCTTGAGTTTTTGTAATAGTAGTCTCATACAGTATTTGTCCTTTTGTGACTTATTTTACTCAGCATAATGCCCTCCAGATTCAGCCATGTTGTGAGATGTTTTGAGGATTCATCATTGTTCTTTATTGTTGTGTAGTATTCCATTGTGTGTATGTACCATAATTTATCAATTCATCTGTTGATGGGCACTTAGGTTGTTTCCATTTTTTGCTATTGTAACAATGCTGCAATGAACATGGGTGTGCATGTGTCTATTTGTGTGATAGCTCTTATTTCTGTAGGCTATATTCCTAGGAGTGGGACTGCTGGATCATACTGTATTTCTATTTCTAGTTTTTTAAGGAGGTGCCATATTGTTTTCCACAGTGGTTGTAACCATTTTACATTCCCACCAGCAGTGTGTAAGAGTTCCAGTCTCCCCACATCCTCTCCAACACTTGTTATTTTCTGTGTTTTGGATTAGTGCCAGTAATGTCAGGGTGAGATGGTATCTCATTGTAGTTTTGATTTACATTTCACTAATGGCTAATGATCAGGAGCGCTTCCTCATGTGTCTGTTAGCCACCTGAATGTCTTCTGTGGAAAAGTGTCTGTTCATATTCCTTGCCCATTTTTAAATTGGATTATTTGTCTTTTTGTTGTTGAGGTACTGAAGTATTTTGTAGATTTTAGAGATTAGACCCTTGTTGGATATGTCATAGCCAAAATTTTTTTCACAGTCTGTAGGTTCTCTTTTTTTTCTCTTTTGGTGAAGTCTTTTGATGAGCGTAAGTGTTTAATTTTTAGGAGCTTCTAGTCATCTAGTTTATCTTCTGATGTTTGTGCAATGTTAGTTATGATTTGTATGCTATTTATGCCATGTATTAGGGCCCCTAGCATTGTCCCTATTTTTTCTTCCATGATCTTTATCATTTTACGTTTTATATTTAGGTTTTTGTTCCATTTTGAGTTAGTTTTTGTGAATGGTGTGAGGTATGGGTCCTCTTATTTTTTTACAAATGGATATCCAGTTTTGCCAGCACCATTTGTTA